TGCCCTCCAGATTCATGGCGCCACCTTGCAGACCCAGGTCTTGGGGTGGCCCCTCACGCTGGACCACAAGGCAGCATAATAGGGTTGTCGGTGCTTCTTGGCCAGCCCCTGGCTTCACCCCAGCAGCGGTGGAAGAGTCAGCCCAGGCCGCCCCTCCATCGGCGGGCAGCCCGGCTCCTCCCCTAACTCGGAGCCTTCCTCTCCAGCGCTGCAAGGACCGCCTGAACTCGCTGGCCATTTCCGTGATGAACCAGTGGCCCGGGGTAAAACTGCGGGTGACCGAGGGCTGGGACGAGGACGGCCACCACTCGGAGGAGTCGCTGCACTATGAGGGCCGCGCGGTGGACATCACCACCTCTGACCGCGACCGCAATAAGTACGGACTGCTGGCGCGCCTGGCGGTGGAGGCCGGCTTCGACTGGGTGTATTACGAATCCAAGGCCCACGTGCATTGCTCCGTCAAGTCCGGTGAGCCGCTGCCGGGGGTCTGGGCCCGGGGCCGGGGCCGCAGGGCGTGGGCAGGCGGCTCAGGACCTGCTGGGGCCGAGAAGGCGAAGAGGCCGGTCAGGGAATGGAGGCGGGGACCCCGGGCAAGAGGACGTCCCCGGCGCTCCCCGCTGCTGCTCATGACCGCCTGCTCCTCCTTTGCCTGGTAGTGTCATGGAGGCGCCTAGGGAGACAGGGCCATGTCCCAGCGCTGCTGGGTGCTGACCTTGCGGTCCGCAGCCAGAGCCTGCCGCAAGAGGTCCGAGACAGCCGGCTGGACTCATGGAGGAAGCCAGGCTGGCAGAGACGCCTCCCCACCAGCAGTGGGGCAGAATGGAGGCGGCTGGTGGGGCCCAGCCAGGCTGTACCCAGACGTGGTACCCGCATGCCTGACCTGGAGTCAGGAGTCCAGAGGTTCGGAACCCACAACCGGCCTGCGGGTCAGGCCCTTTAGGGGAGCTGTGTACACTGGTCTCAGGGGGTGCAGGCGTCCCCAACCTCTCCCCAGGGTCCTGAAGCTGGGCATTTTGGGGGGGCAAAACCAGTCATCAGGGCCAGAATAAACAGAATGGACTCAATAAAGTGGATTTTCCTAGATTGGCCGCCTTGTTGATCAGAACTGGCAGGTACTGGGGCCCCACCCCACCCCTCAAATCTTGTCATCAGCCCTGTCATCAACACTAAACCCAGTCATGGATGCTTCGAACAGTTGCTGTGTGACTGCCAGCCTGGCCCCACCTGGTGTCCGGCTCAGCCCCTGCACTGGCACCAGCAAATGACACTCACAGCCCTGGCACACAGACCTGCTTCTCACGGTGCTGTGCTGACCCCCCGCAATCTGCTGCTGGTGCCGGCGGCGCGGGGCTGCGGGCCGGGCCGGGTGGTGGGCAGCCGCCGGCGGCCGCCGCGCAAGCTCGTGCCGCTCGCCTACAAGCAGTTCAGCCCCAACGTGCCCGAGAAGACCCTGGGCGCCAGCGGGCGCTATGAAGGCAAGATCGCGCGCAGCTCGGAGCGCTTCAAGGAGCTCACCCCCAACTACAACCCCGACATCATCTTCAAGGACGAGGAGAACACGGGCGCCGACCGCCTCATGACCCAGGTGAGCGCGACCCGCCCTCGCAGAGCGCCGCCGCCCCAGCTCCGCCACCTGCCCGGCCCCACCCGCCCCCCTGGCACCTTTTCTCCACCGGCTGGCACGCCCCCTGGCACCTGCCCCTTACGCCAAGCCCCACTGACTCCTGCCCACGACGGGCCGGCCAGGGGTCCCGGCGGAAGTGTCGGCAGCCCCGAGCCCGCCCGGGGCTGAGAAGTGCTCCCTACTGCCAAGCCCCAGAGCCAGCCGGCGGCTTGGTGGCTCCCCTGCCCCGAGAGCCGCCGGCTCAGATAAGAAGCGGCACCCAGAGGTACTTCGACCCTGCTGCACCTCTGAGACCCACGCAGTCCCTCCAGGCCTAACCTTCGCGCGGCTGCGCCCCTCTCATTGCGAAGCCATTCGGCTCCCCTGAAGTGAAGAAGCTCCGGCAGTGGGGGACCCCCGCGCGCTCTCTTCCCCACGGGTCTCGGTTCACTGCGCCACCCCTTTCTGGAGCAGCCTCCGGCCTGGGTCTGAGGTTAAGGAACAGCGGGAAGAGTTGAGCCCGGAGGCGGAGATGGGAAGGGGAACTTGCCGGGCAAGCCCACGTGTCTGTCCCGAGGGCTGAGAGGCGCCCGGCTGCGGTGGAAGGGTGGGGTGCTGGGGTCTCAGGGCTCTGGGACTGAACTCGCCGGATCCCTGGGCTGGGTGGTGGGGGTGAGGAGGATGGGAATAGAGGGGCTCGAGGCCGAAGGGGCAGGGAGCAGAACCACCAAGTCCCTGCCTGCTCCCGTGCAGCAGACCTGTGCACTCAGCCACCTCGGGCTAACTTTTCTCCCTGCAGCCAGCCTGCAACCTAAGCCCCTTCCTCGGCGACCTGGGCAAGCCACCCCTTTCTAGGTGCTTTAGGAAGAGCAGCTAGACCACGACCCTCAGCGTGTTCCCTGGCGCCGGGGCTGCCGGCCCTAGTCGGGGCGAAGGTTGGCTGGTGTCCTGGCCCGGGCTGGGCGCCTAGGAATGCAGATAAGGATCCGGGCCACGGGCTGGGCAATCATTGACAGTGTGCGCCCCGGCTCTGGACCCGAGGAGGGGGGTGGGGAAGAGAGAGTGGCGGGGAGAAGGGGTGGTAGTGTGGATAGAAGTGGAGGGCTAGAAGCCGGGCAGCAAGGATCCCCAAAGTATTCCTCCTCTGGGCAGTGAGCACCCCCAGCCAGGCTGCTGGGCCTGGGAACACCAGCAGAGACATGGGCCTTAGCTGTTGTTGGCTCCTGAGAGACGGAGTCCAAGGGTCTGTGGGGCCCTGGCTTTGCTAGGTAGGGGGAGCTTGAGACTTGGCTGCCACACTTGGAGGCACCTCACACCTCGGGGCCCTGCCTCCCTCCCCTAGTCAACTGCAGGGCGCCTTGGGCTCCAGGAACACAGGTAGCTGGCACCAACGGACAGTCTGTTCTGGAAGTGCCCGTAAGTGCAGCTCCTGTACCTACAGCCTGGAGCTGGCTCCCTGAGAGAGGATGGTGTCCCTGGTCCTTCCTGGCAATAAGCAGCAGGAGGTACTAAAGCCCTGGACTCTGGAGGACTTTGAATGTGATTATCAACCAGTACATCCTGGCAGCAGGAGACACTGTGTCAGCCTCCATCGGGACAGCCTGGGGGCCAGCCTTACCAATGGTTCTTGGCTCCAGGTCTGTGGCATCCTGGTGGCAAGGGCTGGCTCATTTTGGATCATAAGAGGATCCCAACAGCACTGTTCTGTGATGCCAGAGGGATCTCGGCTGGCCTGGGATTTCCCCCCAACACACCTCTCTGCTGCTGGTGCCTCAGCACCTGCCGAGCCTCTTCGGCCTTGGTCCCCAGACCTCAGCCCTGAGGCTACGGTGACACCTACCGGGCACGCCTGGCCTTGCATGCCTAGCAGGCCAGCCGCAGGCAGTTGGGTGTGCTACCAAGCCCACCTCCTAGGCAGTAGGCGCCGGCTGATCCCTGGTGCCCAGAGGAGACAGAGGGACTAGACACTGGAAAGGTGTAACATTTCCCGCCAGTCTGTGTCGGGATCTTACCCCAAGTGGGGGCGAGAGGGCACCGGGGACCGCCTCTCACTAGAGAAGGGAGCGTGTAAGGTGGTCTGTCTCCTTGCCCTCCAGATTCATGGCGCCACCTTGCAGACCCAGGTCTTGGGGTGGCCCCTCACGCTGGACCACAAGGCAGCATAATAGGGTTGTCGGTGCTTCTTGGCCAGCCCCTGGCTTCACCCCAGCAGCGGTGGAAGAGTCAGCCCAGGCCGCCCCTCCATCGGCGGGCAGCCCGGCTCCTCCCCTAACTCGGAGCCTTCCTCTCCAGCGCTGCAAGGACCGCCTGAACTCGCTGGCCATTTCCGTGATGAACCAGTGGCCCGGGGTAAAACTGCGGGTGACCGAGGGCTGGGACGAGGACGGCCACCACTCGGAGGAGTCGCTGCACTATGAGGGCCGCGCGGTGGACATCACCACCTCTGACCGCGACCGCAATAAGTACGGACTGCTGGCGCGCCTGGCGGTGGAGGCCGGCTTCGACTGGGTGTATTACGAATCCAAGGCCCACGTGCATTGCTCCGTCAAGTCCGGTGAGCCGCTGCCGGGGGTCTGGGCCCGGGGCCGGGGCCGCAGGGCGTGGGCAGGCGGCTCAGGACCTGCTGGGGCCGAGAAGGCGAAGAGGCTGGTCAGGGAATGGAGGCGGGGACCCCGGGCAAGAGGACGTCCCCGGCGCTCCCCGCTGCTGCTCATGACCGCCTGCTCCTCCTTTGCCTGGTAGTGTCATGGAGGCGCCTAGGGAGACAGGGCCATGTCCCAGCGCTGCTGGGTGCTGACCTTGCGGTCCGCAGCCAGAGCCTGCCGCAAGAGGTCCGAGACAGCCGGCTGGACTCATGGAGGAAGCCAGGCTGGCAGAGACGCCTCCCCACCAGCAGTGGGGCAGAATGGAGGCGGCTGGTGGGGCCCAGCCAGGCTGTACCCAGACGTGGTACCCGCATGCCTGACCTGGAGTCAGGAGTCCAGAGGTTCGGAACCCACAACCGGCCTGCGGGTCAGGCCCTTTAGGGGAGCTGTGTACACTGGTCTCAGGGGGTGCAGGCGTCCCCAACCTCTCCCCAGGGTCCTGAAGCTGGGCATTTTGGGGGGGCAAAACCAGTCATCAGGGCCAGAATAAACAGAATGGACTCAATAAAGTGGATTTTCCTAGATTGGCCGCCTTGTTGATCAGAACTGGCAGGTACTGGGGCCCCACCCCACCCCTCAAATCTTGTCATCAGCCCTGTCATCAACACTAAACCCAGTCATGGATGCTTCGAACAGTTGCTGTGTGACTGCCAGCCTGGCCCCACCTGGTGTCCGGCTCAGCCCCTGCACTGGCACCAGCAAATGACACTCACAGCCCTGGCACACAGACCTGCTTCTCACGGTGCTGTGCTGACCCCCCCGCAATCTTTTCCCTCAGCATTTCCCTGACAACTATCTACTTCAAGTCACACCTACTCTTCGCCTGCAAACATTGGCCCCCGGCCACTGCCACTCCTTACTCCTGTCCCCCAAACACCGCTCTCCATGGCACACACTGATGTCCCTGTGCCCTGTCCCCACACAAGGACCAGAACATGAACTGAGGTTACTGATGTCGCCCTGGCCGGAGCTCCACCCCTATCCCCTGGTCTGACCCTTCACTCTTGAGGTTCCCTAAGAGGCTACTCCCCTCCCTGGCTGGTCCTCCTCTCACTTCCAGACAGACTCAAGGGCCAGTTATGTCAGAGAACTTGGGGTGTCAGTATGAGAGAGCAATATTTGGGGAGCATATGAGCAAGGGGTTAGAAGTCATGGGACATTCAGACCTCACAGGGGCTAAAGCTTTTCCGTGAGGTCACAGGAGACCACTGCTTGGTTTGCCGACCCCTGGCCTCTCCTAGCCCTTCCCAGCATTTTCGGGGTGAGAGGAAACTGAGGGTGCCTCAAGAGGGCCCTTCCCCTCTTGACTAGTGGGTATTGAGCCATGATCTGTCCTTCTCATTTGCAAAGGCTTAGACTGGGGAGGCGGACAGAAGATCACGTGGGGTGGGGTGAGTTCAGCTGCCGGGAAGTGGGGGGCAGGGTCCAGGATAGGGTGAGGGGGGCTCTCTGGGAGAAAGAGGAGTCCCCACTGGGCTGGCACTGGGAATCCCAGCTCCATGGAGTAACACCTTCATGTCCCTTCCTCCACAGAGCACTCCGCTGCAGCCAAGACGGGCGGCTGCTTCCCTGCTGGTGCCCGAGTACGCCTGGAGAGCGGGGCGCGTGTGGCCTTGTCGGCGGTGAGGCCCGGAGACCGGGTGCTGGCCATGGGGGAGGACGGGAACCCCACCTTCAGTGACGTGCTCATTTTCCTGGACCGCGAGCCGACCAGGCCGAGGGCCTTCCAGGTCATTGAGACGCAGGACCCCCCTCGCCGCCTGGCACTCACCCCTGCGCACCTGCTCTTCACCTCCAGCAATCACACCCAGCCAGCAGCCCACTTCCAGGCCACATTTGCCAGCCAAGTGCAGCCCGGCCAGTACGTGTTGGTGGCTGGGGCGCCAGGCCTGCAGCCTGCCCGAGTGGCCACTGTCTCCACACACGTGGCCCCGGGGGCCTATGCTCCACTAACGAGGCACGGGACGTTGGTGGTGGAGGATGTGGTGGCCTCCTGCTTTGCAGTGGTGGCTGACCACCGCCTGGCTCAGTTGGCCTTCTGGCCCCTGCGACTGTTTCACAGCTTGGCATGGGGTAGCTGGACCCCGGGGGAAGGGGTACACTGGTACCCCCAGCTGCTCTACCGCCTGGGACGTCTCCTGCTAGAAGAGGGCAGCTTCCACTCACTGGGGATGGCTGGGCCCGGGAGCTGAAAGGACCCCTCCGCTGCACTCCAGGAACTGCCCAGCTGGATCCCAGGCCTCCCCACCAGGAGGGCGCAGGCCCTGAAGGGACCTTAGGAGGGGCGCTGGTTGCCACCATCTCTGCCACCAGAGATGCACCTTGAGATTTGACTAGGCCATGCCAGCGTCCCTATGCCCCGTCTTCGTATAGTGACAGAACTGTAAGCTGCGCTGGCCCGGAGGGTTGTGGCCCATCTTCCTGTCCTAGAAACCTCGAAACCCGCCCAGCCAGCACTCACTATGTCTTTTCACACCTGCCTCCTTCATGGGGAAGACCCGTTCTATCTGTCTTAGGCCCCCCACTTCAGTGGGCTGGCACCTCAGTTGATGCTGCTAGTTTCCCTGGGAGCCAGCAGGGAGCTGGCTGGACTCACTGCTGCCGGAACTGAGAAAGCCTCACAGGCAGCCAGCCTGGCCATCCTGAGACACGACCTTCCTCCCTGGCCACACTCCGCGGGACACACCCCGAAACTGCTGCCGTCGGGGCAGTCAGTGTGATCACAGGGCTGGGGACGGGGTGGGCTGGGTGTCCTTCCCAGCTGTCCAGGCTGAGCTCCCTTTTCTGTAGGACCATCACCTCCACCCCCTCCTCCAGTCAGTCTCCCCCACCTTATTTATTGGCTTGGAGGGGAAGCCCATGGGAGAATCTTGGGGATGTTTTGACCTTTTCTTCCTTTTGTAATAAAAATTATTTAAGTTGCTAGAGCCATGGAGCCCAAGGTCCTGAGCGACACAAAGATGGCCTGTGGCTGGCTCACTTCTCCAGGGTCAAAACCTCCAGAGCTCCTGCCCTCTCTGCAGGCACTTTCTCACCCTCTGCAAAGCTCCCCATAGAGGGGGGAGCTGCAAAGTCCCCACTGAGGAGATGGTGGGTGCTAGGCGAGGACTTTACAAGCTGACCCCAACACTTGCCTAAACATGGACCAGACAGAAAGGGGAGGTTATCAATGCTCAGTCACTTCACTGATCTCGAACCATCTCCTTGTTCTCCAGTTACTCTCATCTTTCTTGGGGCCTGGGATTCTTCATTGGGAATCTTCACTGTATTTCCCTTGTGGCCTGTTCAGACATCAGAGCTAAGTCAAGGTCTGTAACCCGACAGTTCTCAAATCTCAGAATCACCTGGGCAGCTTGTTTAAAAATGGTTCCTGGTCCCACTTTCAGGATTCTGCTTTAATAGGTCCAGAGCAAGCCCCAGGAACTGATTTTTACTAATACCCCACACATGGCAGAGGATTCATAGACCATCCTTTCATAAACATTGCTTAGAGACGGCTCAGGTTATCGCTAAAAATAAAATGACCCCTTTCTTCCTCTTCTCTTGGTCTCTCCACTCAAGCTACCCTTTCCTGTACATACTACAGATCAGCGATTCTCAGGTCTAGTGGTACAGTTATTACATGTTCAGGAATTTTGGAGCCGGTTGAAAGAGGCCATAATGGGAGTATTTACACCATGGCAATTGGCGGATGTTATAAATGAGGCATCCCCCACTGAGTGTGATTAAAGCATACCACTGCCCAGCTTCTATCCTCTTGCAGAGATTCCTGTGTTGGGGATGACTCCCCAGACCACTAGTATACCCATTCCCCTACCTTCATGCAGAAAGACTCCAGAAAACATTTCTGTCATCTGGTGGGAAATAAGCCCTCCCCCACACCCCACCATGTTATAGCCACGGCACTTGTCCCCGAGTGAAGAGTAACCTTTGCCTGGCTTTGTTCTCAGTGTTTTACATATAAATCCATTTAATACTCACAACAGCCCATGTGGCATACACTTTAATATTATTTTCCAGTTGAGAAAGGAGAAGCACAGGGAGGTTAAGTAACTTGCCCGAGATTAGGCCAGAGTACCAGAAACCAGATTTGAACCCATGCCTCTGGCTCTCAAGTCCACTGTTTCTACCTCAGGGCTTTGCCTTGGTGAACTTGGGTTTTCCCCAGAAGTCACTCAGCATCGGCACTCCCAGCATGACAGGCCTGGAAGTCTCCTTTGTCAGCACGTTGGGAATGGACCCATCTCTCTGCGGCAGACTGTTGCCGACCAGGCTCACATGGACCAGCATGGTGATGAACTCGGGTCAAGGTCAAGATAGTCTTGTCCTTTCACTTGCACTTTGTCTCCCTGTTGATATTTTATCTGGGAGGGAGAAAGAATTTAGTGAGAGGCTCTCCGTATGCGGGACCCACCGGCCTCTACTGCTGGACCTGGGCACGCTCTGTCCTGCAGACACAGAATCATGTGTCACCCCCAGAAATGTCTGTTCTGTATTGCTCTCCTCAGAAAACACTTCAGTCTTCAGGCAGAGAAGGCTGAAAAGATTCAGAAAGAATTTTTGTCTCTGAATTTAGACCTTCAAAAGGCCAACTTTGGGATGGAGTGGGGGTCCTGAAGCTTTTCCAAGGCCCCGGGCTCAGACCTGAGGAGACCGTATGATTAGGGGAGCAATGAGATCGTCTAGAAGGTTGCCTTCTGCTACTGGTCCTTCTAGAACCAAGCTCTGACCACGCTGTGGCTCAACAGCAGGCCCGCCACGTGTTCCAGGCCCAGGTAGCTACTGAGTCACAGCTGCCTCTCCTCTCAGGCCACACTCAGGGCCAGGGTAAGGCTGGATCCCCTGGTCCAGGCTGAGGACATGGTTAAATGCAATGGCTGTGCAGCATGAGCAGGTATCACACGTGATCCAGTGCACATGGGCTTGGCAAAGCTGTGGTGGGCAGGCGGGCAAGGGTTAGTGGCAGAATTTTGTGTTCCACAAATGTAGCCTTTATCTGGAAGTACCCGGAGGGATTGGGGTAATTTGTGACTAGATTGTCTCAGAAATCTTACCTGGCTGCTCTGTGGAGGACAGACTTGAGAAGTCAACAGTAGAAGCAAGGAGTCCATTTACTGGGGGCTGGGGGTGTTGGTGGCCCAGGCCTAATAGGTGGCCAGAAAGATGACAGGTTCAGACATCTACGTCTCAGAAACCTGAAGGACTTGAAACTGGCTCAGGTCCACAGTGCACGGGAGCGGAGGGTGCAACTCAACTTCATGTTTTTCAGCACAAGATTAATCTCCCTCAGGCTCGGGGCCCTTGATGTCGGCCCTTCCCTGGTTTAGTGTCTGCATGTGTAGGGGTGATGTCCAGGGCTTTCCACATAGATAACCCCTGTCTTCTTGTCCAACACTGGTCTACCTTGGATCAAAGGATGCTCCAGGCTCCAGGTGTCTCTGCATCTCCCTACCCCACTCCCGCAAAGATGCCCAAGAAAGCATGTACCGTGACTCAGAATAGCCCCCTGACAGCCCAGACCAGGCAAGGGAAGAACACAGCCTTGTCCACAGGCTCTCGGGGAGAAATGGAGATAGTGAGACTTGAGTGTTGGGCTCTAGGAGACAAAGTAGGGGACCCCCTGGGGCTGTGAGGCCACTGGAGCTGTCTAGATAGACTGCCCACAACCACGGGCCCAGTGCACCGAGCTGCCCTCTCTGTCTGTGTCTCTTTCCCTAAATGGTCCTAGCAGTCTCTTCTCTTGTTTGGGAAGACCCATCACAGTTGGGCGTGACTGCCCATCAGGAAGACCCCATCACCACTGGGCATGGCTGCCCATTGGGAAGATCCCATCACAGCTGGGCATGGCTGCCCATTGGGAAGACCCATCACCGCTGGGCGTGGCTGACCATCGGGAAGACCCATCACC